TTTGGACCAAAAGGTTGCTTGAATTAGATAAAAGTATGGACGCAAATTGACACAAAAACTATTTCTGAAACTTCTTTGTTTATGGGGGTGCTTGGCAACACTCTTTTAAAACTTTAGAAAAAATAAAAGTTTTTAAAGACAATTTTTTTGCCAAGTATAATTTATTGTCTATAATTTTTCTAAAGATTCTACAACTTGTCTTTTAATTATTTGTCTTGTTTTAAAGATTTTTTCTAAAGTCTCGGAAGAGTGGCTTTAGCCTTGATAAAATTAATAATTTAAATAATTTGTTCTCTCCTTCCCTTAAATTATTTAAAGCTCTCTTTAAATTTATATATAGTTTATAAACAAAAAAATTTGATTGATTCATTATTTTTTTTTTGTTCTTTTGAAATCTATTTTTATATAAATAAAAAAAATTATCAAAAAATTTCAAAATGAATGAAAAGAACAATTTTTCATTAGGGAGGACAATAAAATTTAAATATATTTTATTTTTTAAAGCTTTTAAATGGTCGGACGAGGAGGCTAAATATGTGTTATTTCAACAAGTGATCATTATGAAAAATCAAAATCGGGATAACAAAGATATTGGTTTAAATGCTCTTCAAAAACAAATTATTCTCCATTATATCAACGATCGTTCTAAAGTGTATTTGAGTTGGAACACCTAAAAAATCATTTAGATTATTTGAAGATGGCACACTGCATTTATAAGAAAGAATTAGAAACTTGAGAGTTTCATCCAAATATTTTTAGTTTGTTCTAATTCTTGATGAAGCTTTTTGTAATTAAACAAAAACATGAAATAAATAAAATTTATTTATTTTAGATATTTTTATCAGTTTATTTCGTAATTTATATTTTTCTCAAAAATTTATCTACAAATTATTATTTAAATAACAATTATAACTTCTACAGCTTTCATTACCAAACAGACTTTTATTAATATTTAAACTAACAGTCACAACATTTACAGCCAAAATCTTTGCAGCCAAAAGTCTATAGCAAAAGTCTACCGTTAAAGATTTGAAAGATAGTTGCCAAACACCCCTATACAGTATATCTTATTTTTTTGTTAAAGGGTTTTTTTTGTTTATATCTTATAATGAATCGAACTCAAAGTGATACCCACAACACCAAACTCACCATACGAGAATATAGATCTCTAATATGATAATAACATGCATATTTAACGACCTTATTTGCAAGATAAACTCTATTATATAAAACAACCTTACACAATATAATTAGAGTTTATTCGTCTATACATTCTTTTATTTTGGGACCGGAACAAGACTTGGAAAATATGTATAGCCAGAAACAGAAGGTCCAAAAGATGTTATTCGATGTCTTTCTATCTCAACTTTCTTCTTTATTCCATCCTTTCCAATGATGTATATGTTGACTGAAACATTATACCGATCTCCTATTAGTTCCTCGCAGCATAAGACGATACTATTGTTGTTGTCGATAAAGTACACTGGATATGCAAGGTCTTCATGGTTATGCAGTTTTGGGAGATTAGGTCTCGTCACATTAAAGAGCTTAGTCCACGAGACAACCGATTCATTGACTTTGTTTGTGACCCAAACCTCCATCTCTAATTTTTCTTCATGTTGGTATAACAAAGAAAGTTTATCTCCTTTGAAAGATGCTAAGGTTAGAACATCAAATGCACCATAGTCAATGGGAATGGAGCACATGGGCTTGAAATTTTCTGTAAAAAAATCGAAACTTTGGATGAAGCTATCAGAACCATTGTTCCTCTCAGCAATCCAATACATATTTCCTTTCACAGAGACACCATTACAAGGAAAAAGTACCGACCAATCTAAAGAATTAATGTCAAGAGTTCTCCAAGAACTAGACTTAAATTCGTAAATCTCAACCTGTGCATTATAAGATCCCCTTGTTCCATTCTCGTCTTCAAAATCGCCGTCATAAAACCTCAAGATTTTGTAGTCATCACGAGATGCAATATTATATCCAATACCGTAGAAATCATTACGAGAATAAGGATTATAGGGATCGATCCATCTAACTCGATCAAATTTGGGTTCCAAACTGCGAGCTCGCAATGTTGTTGTGATTGGCATAACAATAATCCATCACAATGAACCATAGCAGAAAGGTCAGTTCTAGTTCTGTTTCGAAACTCACTTGCTATTGGTAAAGATGATTGAGATTCGGTCACTGGATTGATGATCTGAACCATCTGTTTGATTCGTACGAAATGTTCTTGTCTAAGAACCAATGAATTGTCTGAAGATGAAGAAGCCATGGGAGTTCAAGAACAAATAAAAGATCGAAGGTATGGCTTCTGAATTATGTATGCACGAGTGATGAGTCTATATA